AAGGGAACCTCGCTGTGAGGGATCGACTTGTTCAGCGGCATATCATTACTGAAGCTACTTGTCAGATCTGTTGAGGGGCGGGTGAAACAATAATTTATTCCTTGTTTGACTGACATCAGCTCGAAAAATCTGGAAGCACAGCGAGCTCTCTGAATATTTAATGGATGCTCCAACAGAATCCTTCGTCGCTAGATGGATGTGGCTGTATAGTAAGGTGGAGGGAAGCGTATTAAGGCGTATGGTTGCTCTTATGTGGGCAGCGTGGCGTTGCAGGAATTTAATGGTGCACGAAAATGAGTACCCTGATGTGATTATGCTTGCGGCTGGTTATTGCAGGCTTGTTGAGGATTATACAGAATATGCAAAAAAGGTTTGTCTCCCTGTGATTCCAGCATCTATGGCGAGAAGTTCGGTTTGGAAGTGCCCCCCGCAAGGATGCATCAAAGCTAATGTTGATGCACATGTTCCTGCGATGGGTAGTGCTGGGTTGGGAGTGGTATTCAGGGATGCTGGCGGTCGTATTATGTTGATAGCAACGAGGAAAGCAGAAACTTCCACTCCGGAGTGTGTAGAAGCACAGGCTGTTCGATATGCCCTCCAAATTGCCAGGCGGTTGGACTATAGGAATGTGTGGGCTGAGTCGGATGCGGTGAATATTATCAAAGCTATTTCTTTTGATTGTGTTGGTCGTGCCCCAATTCATGTTGTCTATGATGATATTAGATTACATAGAGTGTGGTTCAATGTTTTTCTTTTTTCACATGCCAAGAGGAATTGTAATACGGTAGCTCACCTAGTTGCTAGGGGGGATACGGGAGGGAACGATGAGGTTGTACGTTTTAGTTCCTTTCCTCAAAGTATTGTAACCTTGGCGGAAATGGACATTTCCCCTTAAATTAATATAATGCTCTATCTTTCTTTCAAAAAAAAAAAACTTAAAAATACTCAAAAATAGAAAAAAAAAATACCAAAAAAAAAAAAAAAAAGTATTTGGTCTCACATGGAAATATTAGAATGCACGTGTTCATATTCAAAATAGGAATAAATGTTTGGAACTTAACAAAGGTAGAAAATCATAAGATTGGTCTGCAAATTTTATTTTTTTTGACAAAGAGATCTATTAATTAAAAAACAAGATTACAACCTAAGCTAAGTAAAAGAAAATAAAACACCACACATACACTAAACTCTAACTCATACAAACTAAACTGAAACAAAATAAACACTGGTAAAATGTGGCTTTTGCAGTTGATGGAGGCCTGATTGTTGGGCGAAATCCATGAACGACAGTGGTAAAACTTGTCAAAACAAACGACACATGTGGTATGCCTTGACATCAACCCATAATACCTGCTGGCTGCACTTATTGGCTCCGGTTTGATACTCCCTTCGTGATTTGATAAATGTTACACTTATTAACTCTGGTCGTATTTTACTAAGTGTTACACATTTTTTTTTTACAAAATAAATTCAATTTAATATCATATTTTTTCTCTTTCATGGTCCCCACCCCAAACCCACTACTTATTTTTTATTATTTATTTTCTCTCACATTTTTTTTGGTACACACAAGGAGTAAGGCCTCGAAAAAGGAAAACAAACTAACAGAAACTAAGGGGGAACAAAACGTGGCAAAGCCACACCTAGTACATCATTATGCAAAATACTCCCTAAGGCTAAGAGGGGACTTGAATAATCTGAAATTTGTTGTTCTAAGGCCTTAGCTTGTTTGGTTGCAATAGAAAATAACTTCCCCTGGTAATTTACAATTCATGGGATGTTATTTCACTCATGCAATTCCTAGGAATTTAGTCTAATTTGTTTGGTAGGTATTAAGGAAATTATAATTCATAGGAATTTTGAATGACCTAGGGGGACCTAGGTAATTTACTTCCTACATTATGTGGGAACTTCAAATTTTGATGAATTTCAACTTCCTCCATTTTGCACTTTGTTTTGTTAACCAAACAACTTATCAATTTTGCATTTCCTCGCAATTTTGAGTGCCCATGGAAATTAATGTATCCAAACAACACCTAAGATACTCCTTGATTGGCTAGCCAATTTGCCGCTTGGTTTACAATAATTTATTAACTCCACTATCTTTCTTTTATAATTTTTTTAATACTCCAACTACCCCACTAACCTTTTATTTTAGGAAAAATTTTAAATTACCACCAAAAAATGTAATAATTTTCGAACTAACCACCCGTTTCATTTTTTATTTTAAATTACCACCCCTAAAATTAAATAAATGCTCAGATTACCACCCATTTCAGAAATTCGGTGGATTTTCCGTCTGTGGGCCCCATCTAACGTTTATTTTGACCTTTTTGACTGATTTTTCCCCCGATTTCTCTCTTTAAAAACGCTCTCCTAACTATAATTCACATTTTTCTCTTTTTGAAATTTGGTAGAATTTGGTGAAGAAAATGTGAATTAAAGTTTAGAGAGCGTTTTTAAAGAGAAAAATCGAGAAAAAAAAAATCAGTCAAAAAGGTCAAGGAAATTGTTAGGTGGGGCCTACAGACGGAAAATCCACCAGATTTTTGAAATGGGTGGCAATCTAAGCATTAACTTAATTTAAGCGGTGGTAATTTAAAATAAAAAAATTAAACAGGTAGTTAATTTAAAAATGGTTATATTTTTGGGTGGTAATTTAAAAATTAATCTTTATTGTATTTAAGTCAATTAAATTGCCTAAATCTTTATATCGGTGTTAGTGTAACACTTAATAATACACTCAGGGAGTATTGGTATTAAAAAAAAAAAAAAAAAAAAAAAAAAAAAAAAAAAATCTAGTGGTGCAATATCATAAGCTCTATTCTCCTTAATTCTAATATATAAAAACAATAACTTTATTATAAATCAAATAGTTGATGAAGTCTTAAGTATTTTTTTTTATCGAGTAATTAATTAAGAAAAGGATTGATAAATACTTGTACAAATGTATGTAGTACTTTGTATTATCTAAATAAGGTTAGGTCCCGTGTTATGCACGGTAATTTAATTGACTTAAATGTAATAAGAGGTAAGTGGGGTAGTTGAAGTATTTAAAAATTGTAAAAGAAATATAGTGGGATTAATAGTTTGTTGAAAAGTAATGAATGTGAAAGGAAAAATATCATAAAAAAGTAGTAGTGGGTTTGGGTGGGGAACATGAGAGGAGCGAGATATAATATTTCAATGTAGCTTTTTGCCAAAAAAGGAAGTGTAACACTTAAAAACACACGGGCGGAAATGAAAAGTGTAACACTTAAAAAATCACGGAAGGAGCATATCAAAATTTTATGACTTTCGTATGTTATATTTATATCAAAATTGAATACTAAAGAACAACAACAAAAATAGTTGGAAAAATTAACATTAAGAATAATCAACATGTATCGTTCTTGGAAAGTATTATTGAAATATCCATGGACTATTACTTGATTAAAATTATATTCATAAATTATATATTCAAGGAAATAACAAAAACATCATTTGTTGATTTGATATGTGTATTTCATTGTTTAAGGTTGTAGCTTTTATTACATAATCAATAATAAATCTTGTTGTACTTAATGTATGTACGTAGTACATAAAATGTGTTTCTTAAAAAAAATACTCCATAAGTCATAAATTATGTTAAGAATGTTATTTTGTAAGTTTATAGCTGTCAATATGATATTTTATGTAAAGATACATTAAATCTCCCTCAAAAAAAAAAAAAAAAGATAATGTTATTTGTAAATTTTTGTCCCACCATAAAATTTCAAACCTGCAATATATAATTAAAGAGGTAGAAATATATATAAGAACAATTATTTCATTGATAATTTGTGGGGTTACAACTCTCGTAGATCTCTTGATTCCTCTCTCAGCTCCAAAGGGTTAGAGTTTTAGTATGTTTATAGTACGAGGCCTTGTCGGCTTAAATCCATACTATGCACCTACAATGTTTGGTAGTAGGGAGGAGATGGGGTCTTTGTGACTTGTTCCATCTGAGCCTCCTTTAAACCCTATAAATGACCTTCTTTATATAGAGTGTCATAGAGTAGTAAACAAGATATCTATCAAATATTTTACGAGATCTTGAAGATAATATCTTATATTTTTTTTTGATATTATCTCCTTATTTACAAATATCTGACACCTAATAATTAACAAAATTTCGGTGTCAACAGATACATTAAATCTTCTATTATACTTTTTACCTAATTAGTACCTTAATATTTGTTTTTTAATTGAATTTTTTTCCAAAAAAAATAAAAATTAAAATAAAAATTAAAAACTAAGGACACACCAGAAGATGACACGTGTCATTGTTGGTGTGTCTTTTAGTATATATAGTTATTGATTGATTGATGATTAGGATACGAGGGAAAAAGTATACTTTTAAACAGTTCAATAGTACGGGTATATGGATTGAGAGTACAAGGGGCGAGTTAAAATTCTAGGTAACTGAAATTGGAAATGAAACAGTTAGGAATGGGTGGATCCAAATCGAAATTAGATTTGATAGTTTCAATTTTGGGTAATAATTAAGGAACTAGTTGACCAGTTGTAATTAAGGGCGAACAAAAATTCTAGGTACCCGGAATTAGAGCTTGAATGGTTAGGAACGATGCGTCCAAATTTGGAATTGACCCGATGGTTTCAATTTTGTGTAATAAATTAAGAAACCTGTTAAAACCGGTTCTAATTCCAAGTCTCAATTTTTTTCGACCTGATACGTTTGGGACCTGATTACCCAACATATATTAAACTAAATTTTTTTTTTTTTTTTAAAAAACGAAAATATGTTGAAGGCATATTGTTGGTAAAATAAATAAAATATATAATTAATACCTAACATAATTCAATTAGCTTAATTCCAATTCTGAATTTTAGGATCTAGTTCCAATCAATTATGAGTTTGATTTCTAAAATTTTAACAAAAGATGAAAATTTAGTTGTGACTTAGCATAAGAAAGACAACTTTTTTTTTGTTTGTGTGTTTCACCCGATTCACCATTTGAATTAATCCGGATTCGATAATCAGTTTTGAATGGTTAGGTTCCAATACCCTCTCAATTGTTACTGTGAAGGATCGAACACAAATTTTCTTTATCAAGTGTAGTACTAATCACCGCTATACCAACCGTAAATTGCGAATGGGTAAAGACAACTTCTTTTTTCGCAGTCAAAACACTCAAACTTAACTCACTTTAAATGTTTAAAAAAAAAAAAATCACTTTAAATGTGGAAAACTCGAAGGTCGAAACCAAAGAAAAATTAAATTCAAATAAAAATTCAGATTGCAGAAACAAAAATTCACCATCTCGAATTCACGATCATCTTCCCGGTGATACCTCTGCTCTCTTCAAAGTAATAGTTTTCTTTCACAAATTTCGTTTTTTATGTGTTAAATAATAATTTTTATGTTCTGAATTGTCAATTTTTTTTTGTTCAATCAATTTGTATATCTGTTTATTTTTTTTCAATCAATTTGTATAGAATTATTACTCAATTGTAAATTTGAAGGATTATTTCATATCACAGTCGGTTAATTGCCAACGAATTATGGGATAAAATCAATTGATATTTTTGGATTAGGGTTATTAATTACAAGTTAAATTTTTATTTTTTAAAAAAAATATTTGTTTCATGATTTCTCAGAATGTTTGTAAATTAGGGTTTTGTTTTGTGAAAGCTTATATCTTTATTGATCATTATAATTTAGTCTCATTACAAATTAAGTCGTATGTAGATTCATCATATATTGATTTTGTGGCCAAAATTAAATCAGCTCATATCAGATTTCATAGTGTAAAATAATTAATTTAACTGATCAGATTTTATAATGTGATTTCAAAATTAATTATATTAAATTAAATTTAATAATCCCTTCTATGCATAACTTTACTTTTGCATTTTCATGGTCTCCATGCCCTTGTTTGACCATAAAGATTTTTTGTGATGCCCTTGATTATTTATAAACTTTACATTGACATGAATTCGACAAGATAATGTTTTTGATAATATTTAAACCACCAATAATGAAGTGAAGGTATAATGTGATGTAATTGCCAATTTTCTAAAGATTTTTTTTATGAATAATCTTTGTTTATGTTCTGTTCTTATACATCATATGTCTTGGAAATTAAATCAACTAAAACGAGTACGTACTTTAGGTCAGTCGGAATTTTGTTTTCTTTTTTATTCTAGCTGCCTCTGGATGTTTTTGTATTAGCAGTATCAAGTATGGCTCATAGTGGATCCAAGAAAAAGAAGAGCCTTGAAACTCAAGTTGATATGCACTATACTAGATTCAAGAAAAGGAGGAGCCTTAACAATCAAGCTGATATTGATGATATTGATAAGATTAGTGATTTGCCGCGAGATGTGTTAACCAGAATTATGGAATGTTTGCCCCTCCGGGATGCTGCACGAATGTCTGTTGTTTCGCGTAAGTGGCAGGGCATTTGGACTTCAATCCCTAGTCTTGCTTTTGATGCTCACTTTTTTGCAAGGGTTCTTAGAAGAAGTGTACCTGAAACCCATCAATTTTGCAGCATTGTGAGTAAAATACTCTTTCAACATGAAGGTTCCATTCTCAAATTCACATTGTGGGTTCCTCCTGTAAAAACTTGTCCTGATGTTACTCAGTGGATATCCTTTCTTTCAAGATCCGGTCTTAGGGAGTTCGGCCTGTGTAACATGTACCATACGCCTCTTAAGTTGAGCTGGCATCTCTTTTCTTGTGATAGCTTGGAAACTTTGAATCTTTATAACTGCATATATAGTCCTCCTCCTAATTTTGGGGGCTTTCCGAGGCTGACGAGCCTGGAGCTTTGCAGAGTCAATATAGTGTGCTGGACACTCAAAGATGTAATTGGCAGTTGCCCTGTACTACAAAATCTAGTTTTAAAAAACTTTTCTGGTATGGAGGATAGGCATCTTATTATTGATGTTCCTCTCCTCAGAAACTTGGTTGTCGATGGTGCATTTGCTTCAATCGATGTTACAGTTTCTGAAAATCTTGTGTCAGCTTCCTTTGTTCTACAGAAAATGACAAAAAATTGTCCTGAGGAAGGGAATTCATATGATCTGATCAATTCTCTTGCAAATTCTAGTAAACTTGAATGGCTTTGTTTAGGTGGTCATTTTTGTAAGGTGAGTGGAAAATAAAATGGTGCTTGAATTGTTAATACCAAACCATATTCCTTATGTTCTAATCCTTCGATTAATTCGTGCTTCAAACATGTTATGGCTGCAGGTATTGTTTGAAAAGCAAAACCTTCCTAATACTTCTCCGAAATTGAAAAATTTGGAGTTGCTGTCCCTCCATCTGAATGATCTAGATGATTTTTCTTCTGCAATTAGCTCTATTCAGAGCTTTCCTAACATTGAAACGCTTGATATCTCTGTAAGTAAATTCTTTTTATGTCTAGTTCCTGTTAGCCTGTTAGGATCGCACTTTAAATTGTTGTATGATTCATTGATTCATATACAATCAAGATACCAAATGACTTTGCCAACATTGGTAATTCTATCTATATGATACATTGTACTGTAATAAATTTATTTTTTATTAAGTACAAGTATTGAAATTGTTTATTTCTATGGAGCATATTTCAAATTGCAAAATATGTACTGCAATATTATAAATGTGATTTGACTGTTTCTATCGTATACAGTTAATAACATAAGGTACTCATAGTTAATTATTCTCGTGAATCTCATTAGTTTTTTTCAAATTCTAACTTCTAAGTACATGTTATATTTATAGGTTAATACCAGCAAAAATCTGGATAATAATGTGCTAGTTTACGATCCTGACTTTATATTACATCACCTCCGTTGTGCAAAAATTGGAATTTGGAGTGCTTCCAGTACAGAGCTCAAGTTGATTGAGTTTTTGCTTGCGTGCTCTCCTGTGCTTGAGAAGTTATCGATATCATTGACTATGCCCCTGAAGCAGGGCTCTCACTCCAAGATGTCGACTCAGTTGAACAGGTTTCGTAGAGCATCACCAAAGGTGGAAGTCATCTGTCCAGAGCGTAAAGTCTTTCCAAAGAAATTACCTCATGGGCGCTATCAAGTATCATTCACTTCATCTCCGACTTCTCAACATATTAGTATAGATTCGTCGTCCTCTGACTACATTGAGTATTATTCAGATGCATCTTCTTGATCAGACTAGTTTGTGGTTTTGTATGTAATGATTTGGATAGTTTCGGGTTTAATATGTAGTGATTCTGCTTTTGTGATTTTGTATGTTTAGGGGATTTTTGTGATTTTGTAGGTGGCGAATTGGATTAGTTTGTGATCAGTATTCAGTGGTAATAATGTTCTGTATGTACTGTGTAATAAGTCTAATTAGTTTGTGAGTTTTTATGATTTGTACTCGTATCTCATAAATAATCAGAGATATAAGTATATAACGATCTCTTTCCGGTGGTTCTAGTGTTACTTGGTGTAATAATCGCTCTTTATTTGAATATTGCAAAAAATAACATGGGTAGTAATTAAAATTGGATTGCCATTTTGCATACGAATTTTTCCTTCTGGTCTTTTGCAGGATCTAGTGTTACTTGGTGTAATAATCGCTCTTTATTTGAATATTGCAAAAAATAATGGGGGTAGTAATTAAAATTGGATTGCCATTTTTGCATATGAATTTTTCCTTTGTCCCTAGTCCATTCTCCCTGTCCGCCATTTGCTTTTTTACAGCCTTTTATTCACATTTAAAACATAAACATCCCTAATTTTATATGCATAAAATTTTGAAATTGAAATAATAAGGCAAAAGCTCATATCTTCACTAGGGTAGGATTTGCTATTGTAGGTTCTCGACGACGCAAGACATTGGGGCTCGTGCTGCAGCTCATATCTTCACTACGGTAGGATTTGCTATAGCTAGAGGAGTGAGGGCTCAGATTGTAGCTCGGCTTCCCACTAATTTATTGTAGGTTGTATGACTTTTGTTTTTGAGATATAATAATAATAATAATAATAATAATAATAATAATAATAATAATAATTGATGGGTTAATTTTAAAGTTGTCATCATTGAAACGATTAATAGAATAAGGGAAAGTTTTAAGGGAGTAATAAGGTTAGACTGGTAAAAAAGATTAAGGCCCTGTTTGATTTGATGTAAAAGGTTTTCATAGAAAATGAATTTCCATTTTTTCTTATTTTCTTTTGTTTGGTTTGTTAAGGAGTGGAAAACAATTTTCAAGGGTGGAAAATTTCATCCTTAATGATGGAAAACATTTTCCTTCCAAAAACAAGGGAAGCTACATTTTCCTATTTCCTCCTTACCTCTTTTTTTACTTCCCTCTCATTCATCCTTACATTTCCACTCCTATTTTTTATTTTTCTTGGACTTTTCTTGTATGTGAACCCAAACAAAGAAAAACTAATTTACAATTGTGTTTTTTCTTGAAAATATGTTTTCCATGAAAACTAATTTTTCAATGAAAATGTGTTACATTAAACCAAATGGGCCTAAATGTAAAGGAAAATTCAAGTGAGAAATACACCACTTGACCACCACACTATTGCAGGCTTTGCAGCACTCTTTATTGACTCATTTCTCTCTCCTTCCCGCCAATTCTTCTGCATTTCTCCAGGTAATTTCTTTTCCCAATTTTTAACAATTTCCTCTAATTTTCTTATTATTTTATTAAATCATTCTTCATATGTTTTAGTAGTTTGTCAATGATCTTCGTTCAATTTGCCTATTTATGCATATGATCATTCCGATTTTTTTTAATTTTTAGTTTAATGAAGTTATTTTTTGGTAAATTTCTGGGTAAATATGGTGAATTACGAAGGAAATGTGAGCTCATTTCGATCATATGCATTGATTTTTGCTTTTTAGGGTTTAAGTTTTGATTTCTGTTTTACAAATTCGTTGTTGATGGAAATAAGCAATTTTCCTTTTATTAGGGATTTTGGTACTGTTATAATTTTGATTAATTAACATTTTATGATTGAAGATTTCTATTAAGTAAGGTCTAAGATGTTGCTGTAAACTTAATTAGTAAGTTTAAATAAAGCAATCATCAGAATTTTGTTAAGATGTGATGAGTTGTCTGGATATTCAATTTAATCTAGTTGTGGGTAGGTGTTCTTCGAATAATCTTGATTGCGATTCGTGACCACGGATTTTGATATTAATATGCCAGTGTTGATTTATGACTTAGCTCTATGAATCATATGGATGTAGGTGTTCTTCGAATAATCTTGCTTGTGATTTGTGACCACGGATTTTGATATTAATATGCCAGTGTTGATTTATGACTTAGCTCTATGAATCATATGGGTGTAGGTGTTCTTCGAATAATCTTGCTTGCGATTTGTGACCTCGGATTTTGATATTGATATGCCAGTGTTGATTTATGCCTTGGCACTATGAAGTATGAATCATATGGGTGTATGTTCTGTTCCGATTTACACTATTCCAATTTCCTGTAGTATGAATTGAACTATTAAACTATGGTTGTTTTCTCTGATTAAGTCCTGTAGTTGATTTTGAATGTTCAAATCTAGTAGGTAATGGACCATACCAGAATTAAGATCAAAAGAAGCAATAATGACACTGAAGCTGATATAATTAGTGATTTGCCGAGGGATGTGATACATGAAATTTGGGAACGCTTGCCTCTCCGTGATGCTGCTAGAATGTGTATTCTTTCACATAAGTGGCAAGACATTTGGACTTCAACCCCCCATCTTACTTTCGATGTTCACTTTTTTACTAGTGTGCTCAAAGAGGAAGTACACGAGGCTCTTAAGTTTTGCAGTATTGTAAGCAAAATTCTCTTTCAACATGAAGGTCCCATTCACAAGTTTTCATTGTTTGTTCCTTCTTTAAATGCCTGTCCAGATGTTGATCAGTGGATTTCCCATCTTTCAAGAAATGGTCTTAGAGATTTTAGCCTTTGGAATGCATGCATGGCGCCTCTTAAGTTGAGCTCGCGTCTTTTCTCCTGTGGTGACCTGGAAAAATTGAAGCTTCACTTCTGCATATTCAGGTCTCCTCTTAATTTCGAAGGCTTCCCAAAGCTGACAAGCCTTGAGCTTGACAGAGTTGTTTTAAGATACAAGACTTTCAAAGATCTAATTGGCAGTTGCCCAGTACTACAAAAATTAGTTTTAACAAACTTTACTGGTTTGGAGCACATGAACATTGTTATAGATATTCCCAAACTCAGATACCTGACTATTGATTGGGTATTCGGGTCACTTGATGTGAAATTTTGTGAGAATCTTGTGTCAGCTTCGTTTGGTATTCAGAAACTGGTCGGTGTTCACAAGGGGTTCTTAGGTGATCTGGCTAAAGTTCTTGCAAATTCAAGTAAACTCGAAAGGCTATGTTTTAGAGGTCACTTTTGTAGGGTAAGTGGTGCTTGGATAGCTGATAAAAAATTAAATCCATGATTTACTTTATCCTTACTGATTAGATTTTTCGAATATGTTATGGCTGCAGGTTTTGATTAATGCAGGCAGCATTCGTAATACCTTTGATAAACTGAAATATCTGGAATTGTTATCACTTCATTTCGATTCTCTGGATGACTTCTCTTCTGTGATTAGCTGCATTCAGAGCTTTCCTAACATTGAAACACTTAAAATCACTGTAAGTAACTCATATCTATGGTGGGATCTCTGTCTCCACCTATGTAGTTCACTCTGTAACTCAAAATTGGTTGAAATTTATGTTTAAGTTTCCAATTTGGGTATAAAGTAGATGTATGAATGTATCCATGTTTTTGGTAAAAAGTTTTGTCACATGTCTATTACCCTTGTCGGAGTGTTCAGGTTCTGAGATGGATTTTTGAGAATTTGTGATAAATGAAGATTCATAGAACCATAGAATTGATTCACTCTTGTGAATGTATCAACAAATAAGGCTAATACGTGAAGTTCTAGCTCTTTTACCATCGCAATTGTAGATTCTGGAATCTTAAAATTATGAATTTTTTTGTACTAAATTTATACGAAGTATTACTGAGTATAGTTGATAGTTCTAACATGTGAATTTCACAAAATACTTTTAGGTAATTTCAAGCACAAATCTTGCTGGAGGTTTAGTGGACTCCAAATTTGATTTCACATTACACCACCTCAGGTGTGCCAAAGTTGGAATTTTGAATGCTTTTACTACAGAGCTGAAGTTGATCGAGTTTTTACTTGCTTGCTCTCCTGTGCTTGAGCGATTATCTGTACATACACCCCTCCTCAAGAAGACTTCTCGGTCAAGGATGTTAATGCAATTAAATCGGTTTCGTAGAGCATCACGAATGGTGGAAGTCATTTGTCCAGAGAACACATTGCCAAAGAGATCTGTTCATGTTGCCATCTCACCTTCTACTTCAGATTCGTCTTCTGATTCTGCTTAAGAGACTAGTGACTGGTATTACTTAATTTACTTTCTTGTTTCGTAAGTAGCCAACACAGGAGTGAATGAATGATCCTTTGGTTGTTATACATAAGCCTTACAAGTATAGTTTATGGTTTGTGTCTCGTTGTTTCATTTCTTTTGCTTCTGGTTTCGCAGAAGAATTTGCTTCAATACATTACTCCCCTGATGTTATATTATCTGTAAATTAGGGTTTTGGAGGAATTGTCATTTAAGGGGAGCTTTTTGTAATTAATTGTTACACCAAGGAAATTGGCTAAATTTAGCTAGTATAGTACGAATGATTTTACTTTAAAATTTCATAACAGGTTTTTGTGGTGTTTTAAACAAGTCAGGGATTGTTGAAACGCATGATTCTGAAACAAATAATCTTCTGGTCATCCCCTCATATACTGATTGCCAATTTGCCAGTGTTTTGAGCCTGTCAATAGCACGGAAAATTGCCATTGCCAGGACATATTTCGAAGACTGGAATTGTTGGAGATGAGGCTAAGCATTGAAAAGAGGCTAACAGGGGAAGGAAATCATAGGAAAAGTAACAATGAGTGAAGAGCTCACTACATATTACATAATGTTATTGTTGCAATGCTTGAAACGTTACAGGACTTGTTGCCTGGTAACAAGTTATGTTGCAGGACTTGTTGCCTGGTAACAAGTTTATAGACAAGTAAGATAATATTTAGTTTTTTTCACATTATTTTTACCTATCTTATTAGTCTTAGACTAATCTAATATGAACTTATTAGCTTGTACTTTATATTCTTTGAACTTTTACATCCTTATCTTATCCTTCCTATCAACTTATACTTCAACTTATATTCTCTAAAATTATTATTATCTTATAGGACCTTATTTTCGTATTTGATGTTTTATAACCTCCATACATGTACTCTATGATATAAAAGTTGGATAAAACAAGAATTGACCAAACTTTTACCATGATATCTCATGGCTCATTGACAAATTTAACTAGTATCTTACCCTGTACTATTTAAATATAGTATCCCATAGTAACAAGTAGGATCGGAGAGAGTAAAATAGAAAACGAATACGGAGTACCAATCAAATACAGACACAATATTTTGAGACACTAAAAAAGGAATACACACAATATAGTTTAATAAGGTGCTAATACATAAATTTGAAAATAAGTAATTTTTTCACAAATTTCAAAAGGTTGTTCACATAGAGTTATTGGATGCCCATAGGCGATCCCAAAATGACATCCTGGTAGCTAGTTTGCAGTCCAAAAGATTCTAAGTCACTGGCTAGAGCTTTAATACAAATACGGGGAGGATGGACTCATGGAGTATCTAAATTACGACATTCCAAGGAGTAATAGTATTTTTCTCAGCATACAGTCGTGATTATTATCTCAGCATTTGGAGAAGCTCGAGGACATAGCATAGCCTCCAAGGAGAAACAGTATTTTACTTCAGATCCCATTTGAGAAGTGATCTCATTCAGCCCAATAGTCATTTCCTCCAGAACAGGAGACTGAGCTAGAATATATTGTATAAGCTGCAGCTCACTGCGCAACCCCAACATACCAAGGAGTTGCACTTTTCTGAGGCATTGAAAAATGTTAGAGCAATCAATCTGCACTGGCTGATCATCAGTCACTTCTGCAAATTGGGGAACCTAATTTTTCAAAATAGGCAATTTTATATGAGTTAGATTATGTTAGGAAAGATTAGGAGAATATTATTCATTGTTATCATATAAATTAGTTTCCTTAATTATAGCCTTAATTTACTCAAGATAATTCTTAGAATATCTTGTGATGTTATCTTAGGAAGCTATGTACTCTACATATATGATTTGAGATCAATGAGAACAACTCAAGCTTTGAGCCCTTACACTTTGACGTGGATACTCTGAAGATGTGTTTTGCTATCGTTAATGGCCCACGGATTCAGCAATTAAAATCCTCCATTGCTCGATGTGAGCAGTCCAAGACTATGTCCGTTGCTTCGTACTTTGGCAAATTGACTGCCTTATGGGAAGAATTGAACAACCACGAACCTATTATTGCTTGCTCTTGTTGTGATTAGTGTACTGCAGGTTCAACGCACGAGAAGCGTCGGGATACGGCTCGCTTACATGAGTTTTTAATGGGGTTGTGTACTGACTTCTATGCTCAGACTCGCACAAACATTCTTTCTCAAGATCCGTTGCCTACTCTTGATAGGGCGTATCAACTAGTCTCGCAGGACGAACGAATTCGTCTTTCCACTCCCGTTCCAAAGGAGCAGCCACCTGCTGCGGTGGGGTTCGCTCTTCGAACCAGCCAGGGAAAACTGAAGCCGGCAGCCTCCGAGGATAAACAAGACAAGTCCGGATTGCTCTGCTCCTATTGCAAGAAAACAGGACACCTTGTCTCTGGATGTTTCGAATTGAAAGGATTCCCGGAATGGTGGCCTAACCCCTCTAAGCGCGGCAAGGCTAGTGCTAGGAGACGTGGGCAGGCTCGAGCAAACGCTACCACTGCTGGGTCTGCGTCAAACAATACTGAGGGTACTGGCAGCGCTTCACAAACATTCACCGCAGACCAATGGAAAGCAATTGCTGGATTTATTGGTAATACAAAGGTTCCCGATGATCGATTGAATGGTGAGTTTGATAATGCTTTGTGGATTGTAAACACCGGTGCTTCTAGACACGTTACTTGTGACAAGTGGCTATTTGATACTCATCTAGTTTCTAATTGCCCGGTTGGTCTTCCGAATGGTAAAACCGTATATGCCACAAAGGAAGGCTTGGTTCGATTGTCTTCAAAAATTGTCCTCACACATGTGTTATTTGTTCTTGATTTACGTTGCAATTTAATTTCGGTATCACAATTAATTGATGACACAAATTACACTGCCCAATTTAATTCTAATATGTGTGCTATACAGGACCAGTCGAGGGAGCTGATTGGAACGAGTGTTAGGCGAGATGGACTGTTTTATTTCGAAGGAAGAGCATCGGTACAACATGTGGCTACGTCGGAGTCGTCTGCTTTGTTAGAACTGTGGCACAAGCGTATGGGTCACCCTTCGGAAAAAGTTGTTAAGCTTCTCACTCCTCTTTATAATTGTAAGGGTAGTTTAAATAAAGCATGTGAAGTGTGTTTTCGTGCTAAACACCCTAGAAATAGTTTTTCATTAAGTGAAAATAAAACTACTTGAATTTTTGAAAAAATACATTGTGATTTGTGGGGTTCTTATAGACATGCATCGTCTTGTGGTGCTCGTTATTTTTTGACAATAGTGGATGATTTCTCTCGTGCGGTTTGGATATATTTGCTTGTTGATAAAACTGAGGTGTTTCGTATGTTTATGTCATTCGTAGCAATGGTTGATAGACAATTCTCTCAAATAATTAAAATCGTTCAAAGTGATAATGGCACTGAATTTAATTGTTTGCGTGATTTTTTCAATGCAACTGGCATATTATTTCAAACCTCATGTGTTGGCACTCCGCAACAAATGGTAGAGTTGAGAGAAAACATAAACACATTCTCAATGTAGGGAGAGCTTTGCGATTTCAGGCAAATTTGCCGATTTATTTTTGGGGGGAGAGTGTTTTAGCTGCTGCCCATTTAATTAATCGCACCCCCTCTCCTCTTTTGCAAAATAAAACCCCCTATGAAATTTTGTTTGGTACTTCTCCCTCTTACACTACTATCCGTACCTTTGGGTGTCTTTGTTTTGCACATAATCAAAAAACTAATGGAGACAAATTTGCAAGTCGGAGTCGCAAATGTGTATTTGTGGGGTATCCTTTTGGGAAGAAAGGTTGGAATTTATTTGATCTTGACTCGAAAGAATTTTTCGTATCACGGGATGTAAAATTTTTTGAAGATGTTTTTTCCGTTTCATGATCCGGTTTCTTCAAATATTGTCCCTGAAAATATAGTGCCGATACACAAAAATGTGGACTTTGACTTTGTTGATGTGACCTTGGACGATAATTTTGGGTTGGAGTATAGTGTGGGCAATGATTTTTTCCAGCAGCATAGTGACCAACGCACACAGCAACAAGGGGCAGAGGATATCGCAGGTAGCCCGCGGCTCGACCCTGCAGGCCGCAAGGAGGGTGCGGAGCCCGCTGCCAGCTCCTACAGCCAGGCAGAGGAGTGCGCAACCGACCCGCGGTAGGCACCTGTAGGCTGCGGGGAGGGTGCATCCCCTACTGCCGAGCAGGCAGTCGCAACACAGCAGCTAGCAGACCCTAATCAGCCGCCCACAGCCAAGGTTCAGCATCCCCTTGAAGATTTAGGCCGGGGTATGAGACAAAAATTCCCCAATGTCAAACACCGAGACTTTGTTACGCATACGGTTATCACAAACAGTCCATCTCCATCTCTCTCTCCTAACACTCCGTCTCCAAAGCATCCCTCAGGTACTCCTTATCCTATAGTGCATCATATTAATTGTGACAGTTTTTCTCCATATTACCGAAATTTTATTGCAGCTATTACTTCTGGCAAAGAGCCAAGGTCTTTTAAGGAGGCTATGAAAGATGCAGGTTGGAGAACATCAATGCAAAATGAAATTCAGGCTCTTGAAAAAAATGGCACATGGACAATGGAGAATCTTCCACCTGACAAACGAGCTTTAGGGAGTCAATGGGTGTACAAGATCAAATATAATTCTGATGGAAGTATTGAACGTTTGAAATCCAGATTGGTCGTCTTTGGAAATCATCAAAAGGAGGGCATTGACTACACCGAAACATTTGCACTTGTGGCTAAAATGGTCACATGGTCACTGTTCGTGCTTTTCTTGCTATTGCAGCTTCTAAAAATTGGGAGCTTCATCAGATGGACGTTCACAATGCTTTCCTTCATGGTGATCTTGAAGAGGAGGTCTACATGAAACTCCCTCCAGGTTTTGAGTCATCACACCCTAATAAGGTATGTCGCCTTAGAAAATCCCTATATGGCCTAAAACAGGCTCCTCGATGTTGGTTTGCCAAACTTACTTCTGCATTGAAGGCATATGGTTTCGTTCAGTCATACTCAGATTATTCTTTGTTTACTTGCACCAATTGTCGCACACAAATTAATGTGCTTGTGTATGTTGATGATTTAATTATTTCTGGGAATAATTCCGCTGCTCTAAGGGCATTCAAGGCATATCTCAGTGACTGTTTTCATATGAAAGATCTTGGTACTCTGAAATACTTTTTGGGCATAGAGGTTGCCCGTAGTTCTTCTGGTTTATTTTTGTGTCATTTTTGTGTCAGAGAAAATATACTCTTGACATTATTTCAGAGGCAGGATTATTAGGTTCTAAGCCCGCCGACTTTCCTATGGTACAAAACCACAAGTTTGGTCTAGCTAGTGGTCCCGTACTTTATGA